TCCCATGCCTCACATATAATAGACATGAATCGTACACGTGGCATGATATCATTGGCTATAGAACTACTACATGAGAAATCACCAGTTTAGAGGAACGCTGCTTCTACATCCTGTAGCTACTATATAAGCGAGAGAACAAAGACTACTGCTTTTCGTTATCACAGTGACTTCGAGCTCTCTCTCTCTCTCTCTCGCGTTTCTCTCTCCTCTCTCTTTCTGGAAAACGTGACCGGCGGCAACCGGAGATCGGAGTCTTGCCGGAGAATCGGAACTCTACGAATTGGGCCGAATCGTACAAGTTGAAGAAGACGATGAAGGTTTTTGTCAAGACTTTGAAGGGCACCAACTTCGAGATCGAAGTGAAACCCGAAGAGACGGTATAAACACACGCATATACAAATTTTCAATAATTAATCATCGGAGGCGGAAAATTCAATTACTTTTGTGCTTAATTTGGGATGTTAATCGCTTCAGATTTTGGGTAATTAGGGTTTTTGGGGATTGAATACTAATTAGGGCTTTTCGCGCCCCGGTATAGTTTCAGTTCAGATTGTTTGATTGTTCGCTGTATTGTGTTTGCATAATTGTAGAATTTGGGTGAAGTTTTAGTGAATTTGTTGTCCAGTTGTGCAAATTCTGTAGCTTTAGCGTTAGTGTTATGGTCAAACATTGACATTGTTGCGGAATTTTTCAGCTTTGATCGCTCGGAGAGGTTCATGTTTATTGGAGTAGGGATGCACTTCTGTGGGCGTTTAGTTTTTTAGTTAATTTGGACTCAATCTGTAATCTTTTATCCTATATACGTTGATTCGAAGTCCTGGTTTATAAGTGAATGGGATAATCTCAAGCCTACACAAGATTGGATGAATGAAAGATCGAACTGATTTATTTCAAGTTCCTGCTTCGTTACTTAGCCCACTTAATATGCAGGACACTAAGCAACTCATGCATTCACTTTTGGTTACTCAACAGCTTTTTTGTATCCTTTTTTTTTTTTATGACGTCCAGCTCAGTGTGGTAATTATTGTGCTAATCCTTTCTCCCAGGTTGCTGATGTCAAGACAATTATAGAGACGGTACAGGGTGCAGATGTGTACCCTGCCCCGCAGCAGATGCTTATTCATCAGGGGAAAGTTCTCAAGGATGACACAACTCTAGAAGCAAATAATGTTGCTGAAAATAGTTTTATTGTGATAATGTTAACCAAGGTGAGAGTGCTGTTCTTACAATTGTCGGGATTACTTAAGAAACGAAGGGGTTTAATTTTTATTTACAGGATTTGTAATTGCGAGATATGAAACTGTGCTTATATATACTATTTTATTCAATCTTTACAAGAAAGAATTTTGAAATCGACTTGTTGACCTTAAAGAGAATATTAAGCATCAAGTTGGTTATGCGATAACCATTACTTATCTCACTTTGATTGGTTTATGTTGTTTCGTTTTATGAGTTGTCTGTTGATCTTATAATCGTATTACTATACTGTTATAGCAAGTATATGGCGTTTTTAATAAACTTATGATTATAATTATACTACAGATGCTAATTACGTAACTATGTTCTAATTAACAATTGCAGCCTAAGGCCTCACCAGCCGGAGCCTCCAGTAAGCAAGGTGCAGCCACAAGTCAGGTAAAGTCAGCTCATTTTCTGTGTTTTTTTATCATTGTTTTGGATTGACTTTTTTTCACATTGGTTCTACATGTGATTCTAATAATCTTTTTATTGACTCCATGGATAGAAAAAATCTTCTTCTTTTTCCTTAATGAACAAACCTTGGAAGCAGATTTGCTTTTCATTACCTAGGAAGAGGTTTCTGTGAATATGGGCGGAATGATTTATGGGGGATTCTTGTTTGGGAATTGTACTTATGAAGTTGCATATACTTTCTGGTGAATTGTAGGCGTATAGATGTTCATTATCTAGCCACTCATTATGAGGTGTACAATACAAAAATAAGCAGTTTATATTTGTTTTTGAAAGTACATCTTACGTGGGCTATGTTTTTGCAGCCCCAACCTGCTAGCACTGCACCTACTTCGGCAACACCACCCCCAGCAGCTCCAGCTCCTGCTCCAGCTCCTGCGCCAGCTGTGGCAGAGTATACTTTCACACCTTGGATTTTCTTTTGAATCACTCATCTAAAATAGTTTGACAGAAACTTATAGATGTTAACTCTATGGTAATATTTTTACTGACTGCTGAGAGCAATATGAACTATAAAACATTTCAATTAGTGAAACTACATATTTTATTCATATTATATAATTTTACCAAAATAGAGGAAGAAATTTCAATTTTCAAATGGTTCCTAAACTTTTAGAGTAGTTTATGGTTTTGGGTGTACAATATGCTTTTATCCCTTGCTCATTCCTTTCTTTTTCAATTTTTTATTTATCATTTAATAATTTTGAGTTCCCAATAAATGGCCCTTTTGTAAGTGTTATTAATTTCATTTATTGACTCTTTTTAAGAAGTACTAACTCATTAAGGTTGTCTTTGTTGTTTACCATACAACCTGCATTTCAAGGTTTTATATGTAATATATAATTCTATTACATCCTTTGGTCCAGGTCACAGCCTGCCGCCCAAACTGCTGCTGTTGTAGCTCCTACTGATTCAAGATCAGATGTGTATGGCCAAGCTGCGTCAAACTTAGTTGCAGGAACTACTTTAGAGTCTACCGTTCAGCAGATTCTAGATATGGGTGGAGGAAGTTGGGATCGGGAAACTGTTATCCGTGCTTTACGGGCTGCTTTTAACAACCCTGAAAGGGCTGTTGAGTATCTATATTCTGTGAGTACTCAACTTGGATATTTTGATTCTTTATTTGTTTTCATGTTGCTAGTTGGGAAATTTAGATAGAAAAGGAAGTTTGATTACAGAAATGAGGAAGAAAAAAAATTACTAGTTAATATATTAAACTTGATTAATTTGTAGGTGTGTTTCTGTTTTTCTATCTAACACCTGTGTCATTTAGCAGTAGACAAACATATTTTGTCTCTCTGTTTATATCAGAACCATTATGCTTTCTGTTGATAAACATCTTGTACTTTGTGATATTCACTTTTATAATGATGATGCTTAATGGTGTTGGTTATGATCCTTTCCCTTCAGAACTACATATACAGTTGAAATTGGCGGGTGATTTGAGTTGGATTATAACTTATAAGACAGATTATAGATTGATGACCACCAGATGTTTTTGTCATATATTCTAAGTTTTATTTTTGTACAAGTTTGCTGTCATGGCCTTGAAGAAAATTGGAAAAAGGAAATTTATACTTTGTTGGTCTTTTAATCCTCATCAATTACTTGTTTTGATTCCTGTATATGGTATCCCTATATGCATTAGCAAGCATGTTTAGGCGTTACTATCAGATTGACACAGAAACTGATAATTTGCTATACATGTCACCATGTTAGGGCATTCCTGAACAAGCTGAAGTCCCACCACCGGCCCAAGTTCCTGCTGGTGAACAAGCAGCAAATCCTCCGGCAGCAAATCTTCCAGCTCAGGCTCCGCAACCGGCAGCACCTACTGGTGGGCCCAATGCAAACCCACTTGATCTTTTTCCCCAGGTAGATATTGTTGATTAGTAATCTATGTACCTCATTATAACGTATAAGGTGAACTGATTAACTCTACTCGTTGAATCAGGGCCTTCCCAATATGGGTGCAAATGCTGGTGCAGGCAATTTGGATTTTCTGCGCAACAGTCCACAGGTATATATATATATATATATATATATATGCATCTTTGTATTTGTGAGTCTGCTTTTTGCTATTTTTGCGGGGCTGAGAGTGGTATCTGAGTTTCCAATTCACCATTTCAGTTCCAAGCCTTGCGAGCTATGGTACAGGCAAACCCTCAAATTCTGCAGGTATTATTTATTTGCTGATTTTATTTTGTTCTCCTTTAATTTTCTCAGTTTGGCGGAGATTGTCATTCTAATTATAATTTGAGGACTCATGGCGGTTTACCTTGTTGCAGCCTATGCTTCAAGAGTTGGGGAAACAAAATCCACATCTAATGCAGCTCATTCAAGCTCATCAAGCTGACTTCTTACGCTTGATTAATGAACCCGTTGAAGGGGGTGAAGGGTTAGAAAATTTGCTCTACTTGCCCATTTCTTAGTTGATAATTGAATGCACACGGTTCAAAGTTATTGAACTCTATATGTTTCAGGAACCTATTGGAGCAGTTGGGTGCAGCAGTGCCACAGGCTGTGACCGTCACCCCTGAAGAGCGAGAGGCCATTGAACGCGTAAGTAGTATTTTCTCTATGCATGTGACAAGTGCACTTTTTCCGCTTGGTATGTGTGAAGTATCATTGTTTAGGTCGTGATTGACAATTCGAAGCTTTTGCTTGCAGCTTGAAGCTATGGGTTTCGATCGAGCACTAGTACTGGAGGTATACTTTGCGTGCAACAAGAACGAGGAGCTGGCCGCCAACTATCTTCTTGATCACATGCACGAGTTTGAGGAATGATGATGGCGTTTGGGTTTTCTTTGGTCTGTCTTTTCTGTGTCTGAACACTTTGCCATGTGGGTTTAAGTTCAATAGGGTTTCTTATACTCTTATTCCAGCTATTTGTCTTGTATCCCCAAGTAGATGGTGTCGATCCCCTTTTTATGGCATAACTTCTCTGTTTTTAAATATTGGTTACCATATTATATACAGAATTTTTCTCTTGAAAAAAGTAGATGATTTCGGTTTTTTACTTTCGTACCTAACCCCAGTATGGTTTTCGTAATTCGTATTCATGTTCAAGTACTCCGAAGATGCTTACGCAGCAGTCGCTGTGAAAGCTGCTATCGAAGACATGTAGCTTTTGGTCAAGAGATCAAGACAGTCGATTAAGATCGAACACGAAATGCACTTTGCCAGAAGAATCTCTTGCGTAACAATGGCATCGATGGATGCATATGAACATATTGAACTACACGGTTCAATTGCAAAAACGAAACGAAGTTTGAACGAACAGCGAAATGTGATCGGAACTCGGAAGATACAGTCGATATCATCTGAAGAGAGATAAGAAAATTTAACACAATGTGATTCGCAAACAACCAAAATGTGTTGCAAAAGAGGCATTGCTAACTATAACACAGACACAGCAGCTTAAAACTAGGATTTTCTACATAAAAGCTTACGCCAGGTTGCCGCCGCTCTGCTGCCACAAATTGATGATATCGGTAGCCTGATTGAGAAGGATAATCATCTGCTTCTGAGATATCCAGGGCTTGCTTTCGAGCAAGACCTTGAGCTCCTCCCACGCATCTTTCCTCGGCCAGAAGTAATAGGGGCTGAGAGGGATGGAGCCATGGCCGGGTATCATCTGGTCCAGCGCAATGCCGATGTTCTTTTCCATCCAAATAAACTTCAATACGAGCCTCGGTTTCTCAAATGGCTTCACCACCACTCCCAGCTTCTATATCATCCAAAAACAGAAACAAAGTTCAGCTATAACTATAAGAGCAGTGTTTTTCAGACCTAATACTTGTATTTGGTAATTGGAAAAGTGTGTGAAATCAGAAGGTAAATTCAAGTAACCAATTATATTAAGCACTTTCTATAGAAGCCCTTTTATCACAAGAACGTTGAAGTATTTTCTTTTTGAAATCCAAGTGCTTTAGAAGAAGCACTTAGAACTAAAGAGAGTTTTCTAATGCATAAGCACTTTAAAAAATTTCGGCAAACTTTGCCAGAAACGTTTCAAGTCGTGAGGAAAACGCTTTTAGCCCCTTTAGAACAATCCATAAGTATGGTTTCATGCTTATAACTGAGTAAGATAAATTTCAAATTCTACAACCTCAGAAAAAATCCAGAGAAAAGATAAAAAGAAATTCATTCAACTCAGCTCAGCATATAATTGTTGATAAACCCAATTATGAATTAACCTTAATGTTAAGGAATATCAAAATGTCACAGTTCTAAATTACAGAACAAGACAGACACGGAACACAAAAACCCAACAGGGATGCTGAGGAGGAGAAAAAAAGAGACCTCTTTTTCCGGGGCGGTGTTGTCGTCATCGGTGGCCGTTTCTTCGGCGACCAGAGACTCGGCGGCGGCGGAGAGCCTGACGTTTCTTGCGGCACGAGTATGTCCGAGCCTCAGCTCTGGCAGCGAGTGAGAAACAGAGAAAGAACAAGTCTTCGGCTTCAAATTCAATGCTCGTTGATTAACACTGTTGACAAATAGAAGCTTTTGCTGCGGCAGCTTCAGCCGCAATACGGCGGCGTTCAGGTTTGCCTTGCACTCTATTCCCATTCCCACAGATAACATATTCTTCTTCTTCTGTTTAAGTTGTTATCTTCCGCTTTGAGTGGAGACTCAGAGACAGATATCTGTTTATGTGAAGGGATTGTGAGAGGATAAAATGCCATCTCTCTCTCTCTCTCTCCTCTCCCCACCCCTTGGGGGGGGCTCGTTTGTCACTGGTTCTTTGGGCTCGTCTGGTAACCCAGGCCCAAGGTTGAAAGACCCAGATTAAATCTAGCTGGCTAGCCCAATCCAAACCGGACCCAAGATGAAACATAACTCGGTGGTTGTTCTGCTGGGAGGGGGTATTCTGATTGAGCAGAATCAGTGTTTGGGTATATTTTCGGATCAAGTTCCTATTCACAAGGAGCAATACCAAAGGCTTGTGGGGGTGTTAATCAACTTGTCCCACACGCACCTTGATATCGTATATGCAGTTAGTGTGGTAAGCTAGTTTTTGTATTCTAGTAGTAAAGCTCATATGGATGCAGTAATTTGTATTTTGGAGATATTTGAATATGACTCCAGGCAAGAGCTTGGTTTTCTCCGAGAATAGTTATTTAAATGTTGAAGGGCATACAAATGCATTTTAGGCAAGTTCTATTTCTGATCGGAGGTCTACATCTGGATACTTAATGCTTATGGGTGGTAATCTAGTTACTTGGAGAAGCAAGAAACAGAAAGTGGTTGCTAGATCAAGTGCAAAAGTTGAGTTCCGTGGTATGGCTTATGGAGTGTGTGAGTTGTTGTGGTTGAAGATGTTGTTAAGGGATTTTGGTTTTAAACCCAAGGATGCTAAGAATCTCCATTGTGATAATTAACAAGGATGCTATATAGATTGCTCATAATTCCGTGCAACTTGATCGTACAAAGCATGTGGATATTGATCGGCATTTTATCAAGGAAAAACTAGATGTTGGAATTATTGCTTTTCCGTTTGTGGGATATGAAGATCAACTAGCTGACATGCTTACTACATATGTGTCTAGTAGTGTGTTTTCAAACTCGCTCAATAAGTTGGGCATGAATGACATCCATGCTCCAACTTGAAGGCAAATGTTGCGAGTTATATGTGTAAATATTAGTTAAGTGTAAATGGTAGTCTTTTGTCCAACATCAATGAAGTACATATGTAATACCACTTGTAACTCACTTTGGAGATTAATGAATATATCATAAATACCCCAATTATTGTTTATATCTATTCATTCTAATCCTTGGCAAATATGACTATTAGACTAAAACCATGAGTAAAATCAAAATCTAATTTTAGTCCCTTGATACATTAATTTCCTCATTTATTAATTATATTTTGATGTTTTAATAATTTCCTTTTTTCTTCCTAATTTTCATGGATTAATTTTATATCATTATAATTATAATTTTCATTTCATTCATCGTAATATATTTTGTTGTAAACATTTAGATAAACTAATTTTTGTTATACAATATATTTCAATGTACTTTGTCTTATTCATTTAGGTACATTAAATTCATTATTATACATTTGTGGTGCATACATTTAGGTACACACATTTCGTCACATACATTTTGATACACACATTTAGGTACATTAATTCAATATAATACATTTCGGTATATACATTTTTAGTACTAACATTTAGGTGCATACATTTCGGTACACACATTTAGGTACTTTAATTTAATATAATACATTTTGGTGCATATATTTCGGTACATACATTTCAGTACTAACATTTAAATACATTAATTCAATATAATACATTTAGGTACTAACATTTAAGTACATTAATTGAGTCTTTCAAATTTGAAGAATGTTAAATTAATAAATTAAAAAAACTTTTTTTTTTGGGTAAAAAAATAAATTAAAATTTGTATTATTAATAAATTTAAATATTTAATGGGAGACATTAAATAAAATACACATTAATTATTTTGAATTAAGGACACATCAAAGGACTATAATCAATATGTAATATAACACTAGGTTTATTTTAAATTTCAATATTCTTGAAGGATTAAAGTTATAAAACCCCTTTTCCAAATTTAATTCAAAAAAATTCGCATGTTGTAGGAAGAGGATGCTGTATGTTATGGGAAGGTAAGTCTGGAATTTTAGAAGGGCGTATTCAATTGAGTATTCAATCAGAATTTTAAATGAATCTATGAAAGCTCAAGGTCATTCAATAAGAATTTTTAATGAGTTTATGAAAGTCCATAGAATCTGTGTATTCAATTTAGATTTTAAAGGAGTCTATAAAAGTCCGATTGTATTCAATCATGATATATAAAAGTGAAGAATTTGGAGAGATTTTATAGTATAGTTTACACTTTAATAAATCATGCCTCGATGTAAGCCCATTAAAACTTCTATTAAACAAGTGAATGCACCTGTTTAAAGTCACTCGTTTAAACGCACTAATAATCTATCATTATATGCAGCAGACCAGGCGAGATGGCTTTCAGGGGCTAAACGGTAATTGACAGAGATGACCCAACTTGCTTCAGTAGCAAGGGTGTGGCAAAGTCCTCACGGTAAGGCTGCTAGCTAGATTCATCCTGCAGAGCCAACGCACAATCCACCAAAGTGAAATAAACACAATCAAAGAGAAGTAAAAACAAGTAAAAGCAAGATAGATAGTAATGATAGTAATTAAGTACTTGTAAGTTAACCTTGATGTGTATGCTGTAGTCTTTTTCACACGATGACCTCTGGATTCACAAGCGAAGAACTTCAAGACGCCATGGAATTGCTGAGCAATATCAGAGAAGAGGTAGAAGATCAAAGAAGATCAGAAAAGAAGACGATTCAGATTTGGAAGAACAGAGAAAATCGCAGGAAGCAGATCAGGATGGAAGAGAAGCGGTTAGGCAGAGAGGCGGGTGATACCTTATAAAGACAATGTTCAAAGGAGATGTCAAATTTTGAACCTAAAATTTAAATTTGATAGCTTATGTGACATTTTGATATATTTTCATGTTTTGCACTCCACCCAATATGTCAAATTAAACTATTATTTCATTACATTATTATTTTTTTCTTAATTCTGTCTGATACTTTAAATTTTACGTATAAATAATTCATAATAAAAATCATATTAATTAATACTAATACAAATAATCCAATTCCAGCCTTTCCAGTTCTTCATCAGACTCAAAATTAAGTACCAGTTTGGCACAGCTGAAATTATAAAAAAAAAAGCAGGTAAGAGAAAAAGTTGGGGGGTTTTTTTAATGTTTGGTAAACACATTAAAATTAGTTTTTAATTACCGTTGAGGGTGAAAAAAAAGCCAAAATCATGAAGCAGCAAATCATAACTTTGAAAAAAACAGTTTTTTTCTTCAAAACAGGCAGAGCTACAGTGCAATGTTAATGAAACTTTCTAAATTTCAATAACACCCTCGTTAGTTTTACAAAATGACAATCCCTAAAACAACTGGAAGGATCTCTTTCCTATTCCCTCATTCTCCCACCGCATCAGACCGCTAGGACCGCCGTCGTCCCTCCCACTCCCGCTCGACATTGACCACCACAGCACCAACGATTATCCCTCCCCTCATTTCAGATCCTACACACGATCAAATGCGATGATTAAATAGTAAAATAAACTTAAAAAATAACCCATAAATTAATTTAATTGACGGAAATGCTTAGGGTGATAAGAGGACCGATGATTTCTCCGGTAACAGGAATGATGATTCTCATCCGCAAGGAATTCACCAAATTAACACCCAATAAATTAATAAGATGCCAACCAATCTTATTTGCACGACACAAAGAAATTCATCAAATTCAATAACAAAACCCTAATTTAAAACCCAATAAAAAAACCATTTATTTATTTAATTTTATACCTCAACAAATTTGTCCATCCTTGAAGGTGTGGTCGGAGACGTTGATGCTCGAAGATCCGGTGAAGTTGAGATGAGGGAGAGGGGAGAGAGTGAATGTAGGAGAGATCATAAATAAAAAAAATTATAAAAGAAAAAAAATTAAATTATTATAACATTTAATATTATACCATTTTTAATCATTTAACATCTACACATCATTTTTATATAAATGTTACCAAACACTTAAATACTGTTTTTTTTTTTTTTTTTTTTTTTGTTAAAGCACTTTTTAAAAAAAAAATTTACCAAACACATAACTACTTTATTTTACAATTGTTTATTCTCACAAAATCAATTTTTTTAAAAAGCACATCAATACCAAACTAGCCCTAACAATACTCCAAAAATGCTCCTCTACTGAATCAGAAGATGAGTCTGAAAAAATTTGGGGCATGTTCACTAAATAACAAACGGTACCTGTTGAAGAACGAATCACTGTATTTTACAAAGCAGCAATGTTGCTTAAATTGAAACAAATTTGCTAATTAAAAAAAGAATAAATAGGTTGTGTTTTAAACAAACTCTACTGTTCAACAATCAATTGCTTAAATTGAAACAAATTTGCTGATTAAAAAAGAAGAAATAGGTAGTGTTTTAACCAACTCTACCGTTCAACAATCAACTAATAAATGACATTTAATAATTAGTAAAAAAAATTTGAAGTTGCTGTCAAATTTGACAACAAGTCCCTTTGCTGCCATTCCATGTCATGCCACATATGATTTGACATTTCGGTTGGAAACAATTAATGGCTGTCTTTTTTTACTGTTATAGCTTATGTGGACAATTTGGCATCTCATTTGGAGATGATCTAAGAGTTACAATTGAGTTTATATACACTTTCCAATAATGATTACTAACTAATCACACTAAGACTTCAATTAGTTACACAACACAGTACCTTTGACTTTATTTATAGTAGTAGCGAGGAGAAGAATCCTTGTCGTCCAAGGAAATACAATCCTAGTAGGGATAACTAGTAACCAATTCTATCTAAGATTTACACAATCACACTTTAATACAATATCTATAACATACCAATACAAACATACATACATACATACATACATATATATATATATTTATATATCTAAACATGGGTACATTCATCAAAATTGTACCAAAACGTGGGTACATTCTTCATAACCACAAAAAATAAAATAGATATTATGCTTAATAACATTTGTGAATTTATTCGATTAAACTTGACATGGATACATTTTTAAATAAACGAA